ACTTTCTTATGTTGATTTCGGAATTACACAAAAATATAGGGCTTTGCTTACAACCAAGCATATGGAAGATGAAAAGACAGAGCAACGTTGACCCCTTTATAATGCACGATTACTGACCTACCCTTCTAATTTCTTCATCCTAATTGGAACAAAGTTTTTTGACACATACCACTCATAACCAGCAAAATTACCTGATTGAAAAATTAAACCAAAACGGAAATAGAAAAGTTTAATTTTTGGACTATTTTTTTTCTTTAGTGGTACGACGTTTATGTCCACTATCATAGTAGTTGTGCTTTGTTTTAAATGTTCAATATTGCATCAACACTTTTAGAGGTTTTAAGACAATTCTCATTAAATTGGTAGATACCAGGCGGTTTGCAAAGTTGATATCATTTGTCATCTTTTAAGTTGTGAGAAGTGCGGTCTACTAGATATTTATGATAGTATTACGAAAAACATTGTCCTGCTGTCGTCGTTTTAATAATCAATGGCAGGGAATGGGAATAACCACGCCATGACCGTATCCATGGCGCCCATTGCAAGGGGGTGGTGACGTCACCTGTGCTAGTTCAATTGGGATTTCTTAAACTCTATAAAGTTCATTTCGATGCCATTGCCAACATAATTTGCTCCAAATAATAATTACTCGAGATATGCTAGTTAGCAGCAGAAGAACAACACGCCCATTCATAAATAAAAAAACCTTTAGGGCCGAGGACGCGGAAGCTTGACCTAGTTTATAAATTGGGATTTTTATCGTACAAAACAATGCAGTACTTACAGATGGTGTTTCAGAGAGTCCTCCAGCGCACTGGATATTTAGTTTTATTCAAAAAAACACTTTTTGGCACTTTCGCGGGTCAGTTAAGCGCGGTGACGAGAGAAAGCGTGCTCCCTGTGCGATGGGGCCGTACACACTGAATGTAGACCCCGAGCGTAGTAGCGGGTATGCGCGCGTCCCTATTCCCGACGTCCTTGCGTGAAAGGGGCGGTTTTGTAGGGTGGCGCCATGGTAGCACGTCAAGGCAACGCGTCAATCAATATGCGAGATGAGATCCCTCGCTAATCGACCAAGTGTCATGCATAAAACGCGTGATTACTCAATCACTAACGGAAGTTTACGGAAATAAGTTAAAATATTTTCTTGTTTCTTGGCTAGGCTGATAAGGAGTTGATGCATGCAACCGTTTGTGCAATTTGTAAAAGTAACCGCAACAAGTAAGTCAGTCATACGCAACAGGTTTACGTATGCACATCACAGAGGATGCAAACGGCCTTGCATAACAGCATCATTCGAGATTTTTTCCGACCCTTCACCTTATAAACTTTCCAGTCCCTTGATACTTGTTTTATGTAAACAAATAAATAAGGCAACGGTCTGACGGTAGCATTAAGTGGCATACTATAGCGAATTGCGTGAGTGAGCAAAGGATAAGACATAAGTTTCTGAAACTAAATATCTGGAGTTATTAAGTGTAGTTGTATTAATAAAATAGCAGTGAACATAGAAGGTATATCGAACAGATATGAATACCGTGTTAGTGTTGGTTACGCAATGGAACAGTTACGCATGCAGTTGGTACAGACACGCACTATCTCCTATCATACAGAGACGCATCGTTGCGAGAACCGACAGCTGATCGACATTAACCGTACCGAACAATTCCATTTCTGTCACTAGCATTTCATAGTTATAGACAAATTGCTTTGACAATTTGTCCATTAATTCGATATTGTCTCTTATAAAATTTAAAACGGTCTAGACTTAAGGGGGAAACTTAGTAGTTCTACAATACCAAAAGTTGCTCTTTTAACAACATTATATTAGACAACTGCCTCTTTAAAATATTAAGTGTAAGTTTATTAAGACAGTTAGGTACACATTTAGACTACATTATAATACCTTAAGTTATGCTGAATAAGATACCGCAAATTGTATTTTTTTTTATTGCGTAATCTCAATGATGTTTTTATGTTAGAAAATATAAAAAGTATTTTTTCACAATAACAAAATTTTAGATCATGACCTGATGGCATACAGATTAAAAATCTGCTGGGATTTTTATGCAACCTGGATATATGGATATAATTGGCATCAGTCTTGCTGATGAAATTGATAGGCGTACATCAAAACAATGTTTCAAATAATCATAAAAATAAACAAACAAAATAAGCATTTAATTCGTTAAAAGTGAACATTTATTAAAAACAACAAATGTGAATGACCTGTAAAAATTATTTACTTTGATTCTGATATAAACATCGGATTACAACAAAAGAAAAAAAAAGATGAATCGAGTGTAAATTGAGCAGAAAACTTTAATGGGTATATCGCCCTGGCAATATTAAAAGTAAAAGGAGGAAAATAAAATTAATATCTAAAAATGACGTTGATTTTTACAATACATCAGTAAAGTTGTACATAAAATATATTTCGTAGAGAAAACGAACAAGATCATACAAGCAGCGACATCTACGAACAACGTAATTTGACGATGTAAAACAAAAGTGACAAGCATAGATCGAAAGCATCACCAAACCAGATTGATTGCGATAAAATCAACAAACGTGATGCTGATATGATCTTTATTTGTTATGTAACCAATCATAATCGTACACCATATTTTGTTGCATAATTATTAGTGAAATTCACATGCATTTCTTAATAAAGGTCTTTTGAAATATCTTCAGTGGACAATGGCAAGTGAAATTTTTCTTAAAAGTGCACTGTTAACAGTGAAATCGTCAGATTGGTGTGTAACCATTAGTGTGAAATGAAATAAACAAGAGGAATTAGCGCCGGCCGATAGCCTGAGCTAATCTGACCGCAAGGGAACGGGCGCCACTGAGACTTTCCCTTTTCTTCTTGTGAAAGTGATGATGCCTGCTGCAACAAAGCAACAGTTTGCATCTAAAATCAACCACCGATCAAATGATCTGCAGCGATAGTGAAAAGTTATGCAAAGTCGAGTTTACAGCTAAAACGAAGGTTCATCATAAAACTGAAGTACCTACACGTGCAGTGTTTTTCTATCCAAGAAAATGAAATTTCATAGCAACCGCAGTCACGTGCGAGGCGATGCACTCTATCGTGTGGCCAGTAAATAGAACGTCAATCTGTTTAGATATGCAAAATGGAAACTTTGAATGTTAATTGTAAACGCACTTAAAGAGAACTGTTAGAACAACGCAGATTACCAAGACGACTATCGATAAGCTTTAAAGAGCAAGAGCTATCTTATGGGTGCTGCACTTATCTGCCAAGGACCAAAAGAGCAGAACACGAAAACAAAACAAAGCGTACCTACTTTCTAAACAAAGACTTTCTCTTGACGAAGTTCGGCACGGCTAATGTCCGCCCTTTATTGCCAACAATTAGCTTGGTATACTGCTATTTATGGCAAAAAGAAAATTATGTAGAGCAACACACGCAGTTGCTAAACAGCCCGATCGAGAAACTCATAATTGTTTTGTGATAGTCATTGACCAGGTATTTTCTTTTGAGATAAAACTCTTAACTGAGATAAACATAAACGATGATAAGAGTTTACTTCTTTTTTTTTCTCAGGGAAACAAAAGGCAGTAAAGTGATTTGTAATAGGTTTTAGCTTAGGTATCCTTTGTAAAGATAGAGCTTTGCAAAGTTTAAATGCTGGTATAGTAAAATGTGCTAATGAGCCACAATATGGGGATGGACTTGTTATGAAAATAAATGAATCGTTAACTATATCATACAGACAGAATATTTTCAGTTCAGATATTTTAACTTTTTATAGACGCTTTGTTTGATTATCATGAAAAAAATAAGTTTATATTTTTTATGATTACATGGAAGCTATATTTTTTTGATAAAATGTATTATTGTAGAATCCAAAACAAATTGACAACATAGTCCCCACTTTTTAGCTAGCGGAATAAAAATATTGTGGTTTTTTGCGTATAGTGCTAAACTAGCGATAAAAAATGTAAACATAGGTGTGAATACGACGCGGTTTATGTTAAATTCAAGGTTACGCAGAACAATATTGGATCAAACGATTTCTTATCAGCAGTTGATACAGACATCAATACAAACAAAGTTGTTTGAAGATGTGAAATAGTTTCTGTATCGTGTTAATTTGTAAATATTTTTACCGACAAGGTGGGCGCTGTTAAGGCCGTGTGATTGCAAGCTGATCATATCTGTTAGCGGCCAACGAGAACACGGAACATTAATGTTGGTTGCTAACGGACACTAAACAAGTGATTTTAACGACCATCATTCTCTCAAGGTTGAGGCTGGTGCCTAACCATTGTTTACTATTATAAATAAAGTTGAATAATATGCATAATAAACACAAATATTCATATCTATTGAATTTAAGTTGTTGCCTGGTAACTACAATCATGATTTAGCCATAGAGAATATTGGAAGTTTTCGACTCCTTGACCGATTCATCTATTAAAAGTTACCCAATTGGCAGCACTAAACGTAGGGGTCATAACATTAATCATAATCTGACCTTGTATGGCTCTAATAATATATATCTGCTGACTTTTAGCTTAACAAATTACTGCAGGTACCCCTGGGGGAGGTCTTTGGTGATTACATTATTATATTATATTTGGGTATTATTACTAATTTCAGATACACATATTTTAAGATGTCTGCATAATTGTTGAAGATTGCGTACTAGTTAAATCTTATAACTCTGCACTTGTGAGTAATAGATAAAGAAAAGGCCAGCACTACTAAATTTAAACCAGCATTTTACCAGCCTTGTTCAATATAAGACACGTAGGTAACATGCAGACGCATAAAAAATCTGATAGACTGGGCACATCTGGGAGTCGAAAACTAATCTCGGAATCCATTATTACACTTACTATACTGAACACCACTCTTAATGATCTGAAAAATGCAAAGAACCTCCCTCTTTTCAACGATTACATAAGAATTTAGAGACAAAGCGTTAAGACGTATCGACAGGACAAATGGCCCTTTGCATACGACTCACCCAATGAAATTTTTGATGAAGCAGTAGACTGCGAACAGGGTCGCATCATTGAGGCCGAGATCTGGCTTGATCCTGGGCAGTGCGACATGCGGCGAGGCAGCGTCAGCCGGCGGGCCGCGCACCTCTGGCGTGGCCGCGCTCATGGCGGGCGCGCCGCGCGGCCGCGTGCCCGACGCGTGCGGAGCGATCGTGACGGCCGGTCAGCTGGCTCAGCAGAGGGCCCGACAGCGGCCGCACTCGCCCCGCATAACACCACCGGCGCTACCGGCACGCGGCACCGCTCGCACCGTCGCCGGAGCGCGCCAAAACCACCCGCGTGTTAGCCCGCGCGGCGCACGGCTGACACCGACCGGTGGCGCTACGGACACTTATCGATCGCGACGCCGCGTCTGCGCTCTCAACCCTCCACAGACACTAGGACGGAGACTCGGAGCTGCCGGCTTTACACGTCCAGCATAAGAAAAGCCAAGTAGATCACGAGAAAGAACCAAGGGCAAACAAGGTACATGCAAACTGACATCATTTGTTTGTTTGTGTGCGAGAAAAAGTTTATTTAGACGCAAAGTTCAGTGATGAGTTGGTCGTACAAAGTAGGGAATAGCACGTGCAAGTCGCGCGTGCGTCTGGTGGCGCGGCGGCACTCTGACTGGGCGCGCTCGCGCCGCGTGCTCACCGTCCGCACGATATCCGCTCACCACGCTATCTATACTCACTATATACAACTCACGCACAGCCTGCACACCTTGATTTACATATTGAAGGTGTCACACTAATAACACAGAAAAAAGGAAGTGCCATAGAAAACAACTGCCAACGACACCAAACTGACCGAACAATTTACAACAGCACTACTATGATAAGGATATTTTATTGTGGTCAGAAGTACATGCATATTACACATGCATCATCAAAACCCTCAAGCAGCCAAATGATAATAAGTTTTAATCACGTAAAATTTTGCATCCGCGGGATAGATGTTTTAGATTACTTTACCAAATTTGTTACAATCGTAGCGGCTGTGGTATATTTTTGAATTCTGATGAATGTCCGTTTTTATACTTATTATAATTAAATTAACGCTATGTATTACGGAAATCGTTTTTAAAACAATAATAAAATGCACCGACGTACAAATTTTAAAACATTCATCGTAACTGAACACCCTAAATAGTAGAACCAAGGTCAACGTCCCTGTGACGGACCGGCGAATAGAGCGATCTGACAAGAGGACAAAAAAAACATCTCTCCCACCGTCCATCAAGAGTCATTGCGAAGTGACGTAAACAGTTTTTGCCATCAGCAAGTAGTGCCCAGAAATCGTCTAATGAACTCCCAGTTCTTAGTGGCCCGTTCTCCGCAGCGCTCCATGAGCTACGCGAACATCGGCGACATATCGAATTTCTCGAGTACATCGACCCGAATATGACTATCCCATGCGCAGAAGCTTCACTTAATCGCCTATCGTTGATGTATTTATTAGTAGTTTTTTGCATCGTATGAGTTTAAAGAAAGAGTGTCGACATATTCCTCGAACTGTACAATAAATTACGCTTCAAATTGTAATAAAGTAAGAGGCGAGTGTCATCGTATCTCTTGATAATCTTTTTGTCGAACGTTAGCGACAACAAGACCGCTTCTAAGAAAATAATTCCCGACTTCCCGGCGTAACGTGGTTTGATTTCTGAGAAACAGTGCAGATAGATGCATCAGAGAATTCTACTTTTGTATAACTAATAGCTGCAAAGTTCGAAAGCTAAATTATAATTCAATTCGTTAAGTTAATACATACAAGCAATGGAAGATTGATATGACTTCAAAAACAATTTATTGAGATTCGATCATATAAAATTATTCATTTAAACTTCACAGAAAAACGTTTTTAAATCAGTTCGCTCATAAGTAGCCGTTGCTTGAAGAGAATTGAATTGAAGAATAAAATAATTACATGATGTGATATAATGAAAATAAAATATGTATACGTGTGCGAAAAAAAAAACAGTATATTACAATTGAGGTCCGACGTAAAAAGCATTAACGTTGCATTATTATCCAATCAATCGGTTCGTACAGGTCTTGGCAGCAGAATCACAGATAAATATACAAGTAGTTAAACAATCGTAAATACTTGTTGGATGTTAACTACCTAATTATTCTTCGGTGCGTAAATTATAGTAAAGACCGCGTTGCAATATCCAATGGGAAATATGTAAGAGAACCCGATGAAGTGTTAATTATGTTAATGATTCCATCCTTCCACATAGTTACGAAAGAATACATTTGTTTATTAATAACAGATAATTTTGCTTAAAAAAATTATTAATGTAAATTCTGCAGTGAAATCGATACTGAGTTTCGATTGTAATATCAATGACACAATTTTCGAGTAAATATACTGTGCCGGTAATGAGGCTGGTGCAAATAAAACAGTGGTTCCTGTGAAGTGTTTCGCTTGTAAATGCATACGTTGTAGTTGTTCGTGACACGAGAAAATTACAAAGTTGCAATCGCAATCAGCGCTATGGTGTCTTTAACGTTCGCGTGCATCGTTCTATTGATGCAATATGACCCACTTGTCATTTCTATGAAATCGTTGCCTCTATAAACGTTATTGGGGTATTTTATCTGCAACTTGTTTAAAGGATTGGCTTCCTCGTTCCAATAATATTGTAAAATAATCTTAGTAGCAGTAAAGTTATCTAGGGCGTTAAGAAATTCGAGATAAGGAAGGTAAGCAAAACACTAAATGACGAACAGTAACAAAATCATTTGAGAGCAGTTTTGATCGGCTAAATCTAATCTAAAGCCCAGCAGCGGCTGCCGTATTTACGCAAGTATTAGCGATTTCCCGCTATCGGCAAGCCGCGCACGCGCTCAAACTGATCTATGGCGCAAGCTTCCATCATTATTCTCATTACGAACTAGCGAGCGTGTTCGCAATTGCGGCACACCCGTCTTGTGCCAAATGGTGACTTGACAATATTACTACAAGTAGTTTGATACGTAATTTGAAAACGCTAAAGCCCTTTTACAGTTCTATAAAGCTCTGTATCGCCACACCATTTTCATATATTCATGTAGGCCGTTATGAACATTTGCTAAATCAGTTAAGTGAAAGCTCGGATGATGCAAGCACCTGCTTGGGTGTGTTAGGTTAAAAGAAACTTCCAGATATTCGTTCTTGGCAAGTTTCTATCGGTCTTCTCGAAAAGAATTGGCACCAGAAATTATTTGATTTCAAACACGTTAGGATTTGAAGAGAATCCTTTAAGATGTGAAGCACGTGTATACGTCAATTTAAGTTTAGTTACGTGAAAATTATGAGAGAACGAAATGTCAAGCATTTACGCAAGCGATTTGCGTACGGAAATTATCAATTTGTCTGTAGGAATTTGTCATCATTACAGATTTTGATATGTTTAAAAACTCATATGTGTCATTTTTTGTTAAACATGCGCAAGATAGACATTCTAATGGGTTCGATTTATATTAAGAAGTCTTGGAACGTAAATATATCATCATTAATTACAAGTATTACGTAACTTTTGAGTATGTTGGCGCGGTGGCAGTGGTCAGGCCATTTCATTTCCCAATTCCTGTTAATAAAGACTTGGATATTGCCGTAGCAAACAATCTGTTGTTAATAAACATTTCTACGATTATAGATTTTAATTGTCGCTCTATATCCGTGGTCACATGAGACCGCCTGCGATTCGAGCCGGCTATGTGCTGAGTTGTACGCTGGGAAAGAATGCGATTCACCGTTTGTCACCTTATCAGCCGACATCGTATCGTTGGGTGTTTGATTACTATACAATAAACGTAGACCGTGTATTGCATAATTCAACATGAATTGATTACAAATTGTGGTAGCGGGGATTACTATTGTTCGATAATGGACGAGCTTTTACACATTTTTGGTGAAATTCTTACGTTCTTTTCTTACAGAGTATAGTCGTCAAATACGTTTGTTGTTATTATCAATAGATCTCGCCTTATCGTTAATTATAAATGAAGTTCTTCGTGGCATGTCAGCTTAAAATAAACAATCCGATAGTACTATCACAATGAGGCAATAACTCGAAACTAAGTTTGGCAAATTAATCGCAATTGATAAGATAAAATTATTTTAGGTTTTATATCTCGTGTATTAATCTGAGAATATTTGTTGTCCACATGTACCTATTTTGTAATGTCTCGGGACTTTGTTAACGTGCATAATCGTGTAGCAATTAATCTAAGGTTCTCTAAATGCAAATTTAGATAGTAACCCGGTAAGGAACCGTTTTCACTTTATTCAAGAACTAGCTGGTGACATACGAATACATGTTTCTTAATCAGAGGGGCGGTTTCATGGATATCCGTAATAACTAGTAATTGTGTTATTAAATCTTTTAAGAGAAGGTTAGTAGAATCTCACGCAAGGTTTGTAGTATTCCAAGAAGCAATAGTAAACAAGGAAAATATTGCATTATTCTAACGAATCAAAACATCAATGACCGCAAATATGAGGAAAATTTTGCCTGATATTAAAGAGAAGTAAAGGTGAAAAGGTACAGAATTAGGTAACCGTAATAAGTTCATGAAAAATAAATGTTATACTCGATTCACGTGTAACATTTCTTGTAAGAAACGAGGTTAATCTTAATACGTTTAATTGGTATATTATCTATTCAAACCATAAAATGAACGATGTTTTATAATGACTCGAATCGAAATCGTATAGATCAAAACAAAAGGAAAAGGAACTCCATTTTGGATAATTGTGGACTGAGTTGAAACTTCAAAACCTGCGGTTTGCGTGTAGTACAGGGAATGCCCGTGAGAACCTGTCTACGAGTAGTGGGCGAATTTCTCACGCCATGTTTATATTCCGACTACAATTAAAACAATGCGCCGCGTCGGCATTCCTAGTACAGTTATGATTAATAATAATACCAAGAAATTCCTTAATCACCGAAATAATTTGGACTAAATAACCGTTTAAAAATCCACTACGCCCAACCTTGGAGAACTCAATTGCGCACTGAAAGCGAGAAATTGATTGATTCAAAAATCCCACGAACTCAGCTGCCGATCTCTCGGTTCGAATTAAATATTTCTCGGAACAAAGAAATAATATTCACTTTTGCTTAGAGCATGATATACCTGGCCATCAAGAATAAACGATCAGGTTGGTTAACAATTTATCATACAGTTGCGCTCCTGCAATCGCCCCGAGACATTGCTGTCATTAGTTACAATTCGCAACACTTGCTTTGCTATTTCGAGAAAATAACTAACTTTGGCCCCAGACATATAGTAATGTCACCGGAGTTCAGGTCTTTGTTTTTCTCTGAACTTAAGGATAGCACAGGTGCCAAAACGAAATCTGTTTCTTAAAAGTATATTTCATGTAATCACTTTTGGCACCAATTTTATTATTACAGTAGGAATAACCCGGGAGCGAAATTGTCAGTGTCAATTAGGT